GCATTTTACTTTTCCCTCCCTTAAACCTCCCCTGGGGCCAGGTACAAAATTTCAGAACCAAACTCACCTGCAACTGGACTTGAGAGGTTATCAAGGGCACTGTCTTTATCCCAGCCATAGTAAAGTCGTTTACGTACACGATCACTCAACTGTTGGTGCTTGGGAAGAAACTGAAAGAAGAAACCCATAACACTGCAGTACACAAACACACCATCCTTCTCCCCAATCCAATCACAAACAAATGAAGATCTCAGTTCAATACATAAACATGTCCTAACCACCTGTAGGAATATTAGAAACAACTTTCATCTAGTGAGTTCTGCTAGATCTACATACCAAGCACCAAGGTATGTAAAATTGTACCTTAAGGGTCTTTTCAAAACTTCCAAGGTGCAATTTCCAAAACTTTCATATATCCTTTCCATCATGTGGTATCTCTAATCTAATTAATAATCCATTAAATCCAAACCATTATGTAAAGTTGCTTTTTTTTCAATTATCATATTCATATATATTCCTCAGCCTGGTTTACATATTGCTTTAAGCCATAGTTTTTTAACCCTTTATTTATTAGGTCAATATTTATTTATTTTTGTACATTTATATCCAGGGTAACCCTAGTGGCTCTAGGTAGCTTACAGTCATTTAACATTCATAACATTTACAGTGAAAACAATAAAACCAAAATAATAAAATTTCCCCAAAACCTGAGTAAAATTTTAAGCCCCCTCTGAAACTGTAACAAGGAAGGAGTCAGACTTAATTCCAATGGCAAATTGTTCCATAATAGAAATTCCCACAGAAAAGGCAGAATTAATGGCTGATGCTAAAACATCAGTGAGTGGCATGACCTGCAAAAGTGCCCTGTTGAGGACCTAAGAGCCTAGTTTACACCAAACTAGATTTCACTGTATCTATATTCACTGCATTTACTGTACCTCTTCATACTTTTCTACCCTTGTGAAACATTCTTTTCAGATTATATAAATATTTTACCTTTTATAAAACTTTCTTGCTTCTACCATGTCTATGCACCACTTCCTAAATTGCCTTTTCTTTAAATTTTTCAACTATCTTTTTTGAGAATCTCATGAATTCTACCCAATCACAAATATCTTGGTCTTCGCTTTGCTCTCAGCCCAATGCAACAGCAAAATTGTGTGTGTGTGTGTGCGCGCGCGCATGTATGCATGCGCGCATGCACACATTTTTTAATTCTAATTAAATTACTTCTGAGGCTGCTCTCCCTAGCCTTGGTTCTCAGCTTGACCTTTCATTTTTCTGGATATCTCTCTTCTCTCTACATCTCTGAAGTTTGGATTTTAAAAGATCAAAATATTTTTTTTCCCAAAAAAGAAAAAGCTGGTGCATGCATAGAGAGAAGCATATCTCCAGTTTGAGATCAAGATGTGTATTCAAAATATCTGCAGTTGACATGACATGCAGCTGAAAATCTGGAGTACTGTGGCAGCGAGAGGCTTGATGGGGCAACCTTCGCAATACATTCACATCGAATTAACTTAGTACATCAGTGAATACTTTCTGACATACATTTTGGTCCTTTCATTTATTATTAAACTTATACCTTCACTTCCATATATGTACTCCTTAGCTCCACTTGACAAGATCAGATAACTTTCACTCAGATCAATTATATACTTCCCCTTTTTTCTTAGTTTCACAAACACATACCATACCTATTTTTTTCTCTTTCAGTGCACACTCTATAATTTCTTCCTCTTTAAGTTTCAAGTTGCAATCCTCCGTATACCATGGTCATCACCAAATAGGTCCATAGATATTTACCAAGATAACCTTGATCATATAATTTTTTTTTTAATACAGACAAGTGGTAGACCAGGTCACCAGCTTTAGTTGTGTACCTCAAGTGTTCCCTGCTTATTGGTCAGTTTTAGCACATTTTGGGTACACACCGCAACTACAGACAAAACTTGCATGCAAACCAGAATATCTAATCTAGAGATTATTGTAATAGCCAACGTATGACTATAATACACTTTCTATTGCACAGAATGGGAAGAATAGAGAAGCAAGCATATATAAAAACACATTTCCAACCAGTTTTTCTATAACTTTTGAAGGTAAATATTGAGCCAGCCCTGTTCTACTCTCCTCAACTTCACCAATTTCCAGCAATTTCTGTAAAATGAGCATTAAAGCAAAGGTTCACCATCTAGGGCCCTAGACTCTAGTGTTTTAGGAGGCCTACTAAAGCTTTGATGCAGCCTCAGGAGTCTTCCAAAAGTTATTAAATTGTAATTTTTGGTGTGGCAGGATGGGAAAATGTTCAAATATAGTACATGAGTGGAGAATAATCATATTAAGTAAGTTTAATTTTAATTGAATCTAAATGTAAATTAAATTCAAGGGAAATCAGTGTTTGACTTGGTCATATCCAATATGACAAAGTCCAGGTCCAAGAAAAAGTCTCTTCACTTCACTTCTTTAGCATGGAAGTCTGCATCATGAGAATGTTAATACATGCAAACAAGCTAATAAGCCCTTTCATGCATGGGGAGGTTTGCCCTTCCCTATTTGTCAGTGCCTTTTTTACTGGCAATGCAATTTCAATTTTGTTAAGAAAACGGGGCACAAAGCAACTTAGTTTCCCTAGTATTTTGTGCTAACAACTGATTCATGTCCTGCTTGGAAACACAAAACGTTATTAAGGTAACTTCTGCACTAATGATTTACAGCATCTTCTAGAATCATCCAGACCATCAAAATAACAGTAATGAGAACAGGCTTTTATTGTTTCACCAATGATTAGATCTAGGTGATCATATGAAGATGTGGAAGATGTCATAGTGAAGAACTGGCAAAGCCTTTGTTTCCACAACAGAATGTCCTTGTTTCTAAACCCCTCAGGAGCTTAGCCCTTGTTATACTTTTGTCTGATTATAATTTATATTTTTTCTTTGTTTTCTTTTGATCTCTTATTTCTGTCATCAGGATTTGCAATCTTATTTCCTCAGAACAAGGAGGCAAATATTCAGTCTCAGAAATGGTAAGGGATGTCATAAATTCACACCCCAAAGTGATTTTTTTTTAAAGGAATGGATCACTAATACAGAAAGATTATTGTAGGAAGAAATGTAAGCTGGGCCGAAGGAAGAAAGGGGTCTGCTGGTAGATCTCGGGCCGAACTGCAGCAGTTTAGTAAAGATCTCCCATTCTCAGTTCTAACAATAAAAACAACTGACACGTCTTTCTGCCTGAATTAAAAGCAAGGACGCGTCAGAGACCGATTATCGATCGGTAAAGAAAGGCAGCGACGCACGGGACGGACAGGAGAGCCGGATGACTGAATGACAAGCAGAGGACGCGACCATTCAAAGCAAGAACCAGCTTTGGCAGACGGGGGTGGGTTGGACGAGAGTGACGAGGACAACTCACCGTGAACTCCTGGAAGCCGCTCAGGGAGAAAGCGCCCTCCTCGTCCAGAAGAAGCTTGTCCAGGTCCATCCCGACTGAGGAGCGCAAAGAGGTGTCGGGCGAGGCTTCCGAGGCGACTCCCTGTTTCGAGCGGAGCGGCGATGGGAGTCGGTCGCTGCGGGGCCTGGCTGCCCCCGCCTCCGGACCCGAGCTGCCCAGCGATCAGGCAGCTCCTGGCTTTGCTGCGCCTCCGAAAAGAAGGAACCGAGGCCCGGCGCAGCTTCTCGCCTTCCTGTTCCGCTGGCTGGGGCGGGCGAGGAGGCGGTCTTTCTCGGCCGCCCTTCCAGCCAGCAAGACAGACATAAAAGGCTGGGCGGACCGCTTGGAGGATGAGGTTATGGAGCGCTTGACGCTGTAATTCCACCTCAGGTCCAGATTCGCCGGGGAGGGACGGATCGTGCCTTTGGAAAGGGAAGCTAAGCGGCTTCTCTTGAAAGCCTTGGCGCAGCGTGGAATTAATTAGCCCAGAGTCAGGGGCATACGGGGGAAGACAGCTACCCCCCACCCTCCGCCAGAGGACAGTAGTCTCAATCCGGAATAGACGTCTGGGGAACATAGGCACCTGCTACTTGGTTTCTTAGCCTCCATACATAAGCAGCAAATACGTGAACTGCCTGATGCCGTTTCACAGCCTCGCGTCCGAGATGCTATGATTTTTCTGGTTCATTCACGCGTGGCTAGATTACATAGCGAGGAGAGGAGGAGTACATAATATGGTGCCCTTTGGTTCCATGGGAAATAATTCTGTTGGTTCATCAGAAAAAAAATAATCTAACATCCACAGAAGCGGCACAGTTGTACTGTAAGGGTAAAATGGCACTAAGATGGCCCTCATTTTTTTCTTTCTGCATCCACAAGATAGGAGGCGCGCCGTACTGCTATAAATGAGTTTGGCTCAATACCCACAAAAGTTCACGGCCTCTTGCCCCGCTGCTGCTGCTGCTGATTATGGTGATTACGGGCCATCAAGTCGTTATCGACTCTTAGCAACCACATAGATAGATTTTCTCTACGAGGATCTGTCCCTGAACTGGTCCTTCAGCTCTTCCAACGGTGCACTAATCGCCACTGTAACAGTCTGTCCACCTTGCCATGCCGCACTAAATGCCTCAAATTTTGTGTGGCTTTCTTGCCATTTTTATACCGATTGTAGATATCATGTGTCACCAGCTGTTGATTTTATTTATGTCGTGTTCAGTTGTAAATCACGTGCGGGTAGAAACATCATCATTTTTAAGTCTCCATTGAAGTGAATTTGAGCTTCGTGGAGCACTACGGACTGTGACTTTATTTCACGGCTTGCAAGGCTTCTGAAGGTTCCCATTGCTCTGTACGAAGAGCAGTCACTTCCTCTGACAGAGGCATAAACAACTGTACAAACAAATAGAACCAGGAAACTCTAGCATTCGAACTGTCGCTCTAAACCGTTACTATCTCTACTTTTGAAAAGGCGAACTTGAGCATTGCGTAAGCACAGGGGGAAAAATCCTCCTTCACGTGCCGAAGGGGGATACACGTGACTGAATTTACCATCAAGTTGGCCTCCGTGCACTGCCGCTGCTTCCGGTTGCGGCTGTCAGGAGGACTCTCCGCTCCTCCCTTACCTCTTTGCTCATCGCTGGCTGAAGCGATGGCGAGCGGAGGCCCGAGTGTCCCAGTCACAGAGGAAGGGGAGGCGGTGACGGTGTCCGGACCCGGGGCGGCAGAAGCCGAGGAAGAGGAGGAGGAAGAACAGGAGGTGTTGGCTTTGGCCGTCCGGCTGAGGCGACGTCTGAGGGGCTGGGAGGCGACCGTGACTGCTGTGCAGCGGCTGTTGGTTTGGGAGAGGCCGCCGCAGAGCCTGGCCGGGGCCGTCGCGCTCGGAGCTGCTCTGTGGTGAGAGGAGGAGGAGACGGCGGCGCAAGGCAGAGCTTGGGCCGCACGGGGCAGGCCCCGGAGGAGGCGGCGAGCGGGCTGGAGGTCGTGCTGAGAGGTCTTTAGGACTCTGAGCGGAGGCACTGGCCCTGTGGTTGTTGAGACTGCCGAAAGAGGGTTGCAAGGAGCAGACCCGTCATAGAGCCCTAAGTACTTGGAGAGGCTGAGAAGGGATTCGTGGTAGTGGAAACAATGCCTAATGATCTCATCGAATTACTGTATAGATCTTTTCTGGAAGGGCTGTGTAAGATCTCGGATCTTGTGCTCGTTCCGGGTCTTGGACACCCCCCCCCCCCCCATTATGCTTCTTAAGGGCTTCAAGGAGGCATGCATAGGTTCACTTTTCATAGATACAAAACCAATATGAGGTAGATTGGGCTGAGAAAATCACTGACTCAGTCACCCAATTAGCTTGGTGAATAAGTAGAAAGTTGAACTTGGTTGCTAGGTGACACAGGTTAAACTAGTGGTGCCTAAAAGCATAAGAGTATTTTCATGCACAACCTTCTTAATATTTCCTGGTGAAATCAGTTGAGTTAATCTCACAAATGAACTGTCCATGTTCTTTCAGCTGTCTTGAAAAGAGTTGGGGGAAATCAGAAGTCTTGTCTATGTTGGGTAAGATGGACATATATGGGAGCTATGAGATGCTGTATTTAATTAGGGCTAAATTAAAAACTCCATAGATTGAGTTTCAACTAAGAAATGTGCATTCAGTTGCATTCTTGTTGTCTGCTATTAGAAAAAGTGTCAGTAATGTACAGATATGGGAGTGGGAACATCCCAGATTCTCACAACTTTATGTGGTAAATTAAATTCAACAGTAATGATATGCCCAGTGCTAGATAGTACAATACAGGTTAGTATCCAGGTTTCTCTCAGATAAAGTCCAATACTTAGAAAAAATATTTTATAGCAGATTGTAAATTATTTATGTATTCCTGGATATTGCAGCACAATGTACAAATATGATGGCTGTGGTTGATATGCGGAAATAAAATACTGAATTTTGTTTATTGTCCAGAGGTGGTGAGTGAGTGGTCATATAAACTGAATGAAATAAATAGATCTGATTTTCTAACTAGTTTAGATTACCCTTTCTCAAAGGGGTATGTTTCTGCAGGAGCATCCCCTGCTACCAGGACATTGTTCTGAATGTCTCACTTAGCTTATTGAATTAGGTGTACATAATAACATGGCATGATCCCAACCACAAATTGCTATCAGTCGAATAGGAGTAGAGCTTCTTCCTAATGTATGAGCAGTGATGGCATGCTATTCAGTTATAAATATCAAGCTAAACTGTTAATTGATAATGTGTGGAGATCACATGGTTGAATCACAGATAGACCTTTTGTGTTGGTTGACACATGTATTCTTGATTTTATATTCTGGGAGTTTCTAGATTTCTTTAGAAGTTATTATACACCTTATAATATAATTGGCTGTTGCAATATATTGATTCTAGCAACTTATGTACTCACCACTTTTTCCCTATTCTGGCATCTCTCTTCTAGCATGTTGGATTTTTTTTAAGCGGTGAGACAGAAAGCATGCATATTCTTATTTGATATTTATATCTAAGCATTCTCTGCCGGGCTCTAGTGAATCCCTTCAGAGGGAGGCAGCAGTTAGATAAGTTTAAAAGAATGAGATCTAAATTCATCAGTGATAAAAATGGATAGCTGTGGATATAGAGCTGCAAAAATTGTGTTTTGTGAGATGTATCAATGATATAAGAGGCTTGAAAGCATGTGATGCGAATTGTAAATCTCAAATATTTTGGTTCCACTTGCACAAAATTAGGCTTGGCGCTGCTTTCGATAGCCTGTGTATAGAGATTCAGTATAGTGTCTAGGGTTAAAAGTATAGTTCAAAGAGGGATTGCATATCAAAAATAATGGCTCACCTATTTGATGAATAGTTGGATATTTTATTTGTCTAGAGTTTTTCAGTACTACTTACTGTGACTTGTGGTGGCTCCCCAGAAGGGTTGAAATCTTTCTAGCTTTGCCCTGAGATTACTATAATTGGAAACACCAGGCTCTGATTTTCAGCAGTTAAAGTATAGGATCTGCTACTGAGTGATGCCATACAAAAGAGTCCTGTGCTGGGCCTGTATCAGGTAAATATCACTAATCTTAGTGCCAGTGGAGCCATGAAGTAAACAAGTACTATGTGGACCTAAGAAGATTTTGCATTGGGTTTTCTGTTGCAGAAGTCTTTGCAGGTTGATCTAAAAGAGAATGCAGCCATAGTCCAACATGCCCCTATTAAATAATATTGGTATTTTGTAGCTTCAAGTAATTTTCCTTCTTCATTCTCAATGTGTAAATGGACCTTTTCCTGTTCATAAGTATTGCCAAAAGTTATAGGATTGGCCTGGGATAAACAAGGGCTGTTACTAGCAGCTACAGATAACTGGAGGTTTGCCCAGGAGTATTTCTCATTAGATCGTGTACTCACTGCATATGATGCACATGGTTTGTACTATACATCTTGGGACTGATTGCTTAGTCACTCCTGGCAATGTACTAAGCTGTGAGTAAGCTCAAGAAGCTTTTGCTTGCCCTTTGCCAATTGAGATTTTGTCAAGCCTGTAATTGCTGAGAATTGTTGTGCTAGCACATTCCTTCGTTTCTGGCTATGTGGCTTCTGCACAGACAGCAACATTTAGCAAAGCTGAGTGGTAGAGTCCAGCAACTGCTGAAAAGAAAAACATCCTGTTTACTCTTAGAGACAATGAGCAGACTATCAGCAGAGCATATTCATGGATTGGAGCCATGCAGGGATTGGAATTGCATTTCCAGTGGCTGCTATTATGAAGACTTGAATTAAAAATAGCTGTGGAACTTTGTTGTTATTCTGTGTAGTAACTTTTAAGATGCTTTATGATGATAAAAGAATTAATGTGGCTCTGCCAGAAAAATGGTCAACGTTACATTTTTAGAAGCCAATCATGTTAGGACTAAAATACTTCAAATTCCTAGGTAACATCTGCATAAACATTATAAATGTGTGGGTGCCTGTAATTTAGTTTCAGCTTTTCAGAATATAAGTTTCCATATGGTCTAGGAGATAGTAACATTGAGAATCTAACAATATTTGAAATATCTGTATAAATGCAGATTAAAAAAAAAACAAAACTGATTCCGAGTTAGCCATGCATCTGTCCTAGACCTAAAGTCATAGACTTGCTTTTGACTCTGAAGCTATTTTTTTTTTCAATTTTCTTCTATAATGGGAACACAGATTTTCCAGGATTATTAAGATGAAATAGAGATTGTCATAAAAAATGTTTTCCTATTACAAAATAATAGTTAACTGATAGTGATAAAATTGTAGAACGTAATTGGAGTTGTTTAATATATAAAAAGGATGATTTTCTAAAAACTAGTATAGCTGTAACTGTTACATAATTTTTTGGTCATGACTGCATTTACTGTGCACTTAAAAAAAAAAAAAACCCTTTCTGCACCTGAGTGAATGTTTTTGATTGGTCTTACATTTCTCTCCCAAAAGATGTGCTCAAGTATCTGCAAATGTAGCACTCAGCAACACTTGAACAATTATTTTTGACAACTACATCTCCCCCCGCCTTGCCCCGATCCTTAACCATATAGCAGAAAGTGAGAGAGGCCCCTGTACTTTGTGAGAGAACTTGGAGGGCTTCAACAATCTCTTTCTGCCTATGGCAAGAACATTCTCTGAAAATATCAGTGCAAGTAAAGAAAGATTGGACCTTAGCACTGTCACTTAGCACTGAGTATTAGGCCAGGAGTAGGCAATATGCTGGCCTCCTATAGGCCACAGAAGTTCAGCTCTGAGTCATGAAGAACCCTACCTATTTTTCTCCTGGCCAGATGACCAGCTGGCAACAGACTGCTGGTTTCCTGCTGCCCAACCTCTAGTCAGACCACCAGGATAACCTTTGGACAGAAAAGTTTACCAACCTGTAATGATTGGGGAAGGATCAAAAGCTGTGTGAGAAATTCCATTAATTATGGCATTTTTTAAAAATGCTACACAAATTGAGGAAGCTACCTGCTCCCTTGAAATTTTCTGTGCTCCTGAAGACTTGAAGGGATTATGAGTGCAGTTAATAGCTGACAGTACAATTCAGTCAGGATAAATGGAGTCCTTTGTTATATTTTTGCGAATACTTTTTGTAATGCTTGTCTTTGTGACTTTCCAGGCTGTTTTCTTCCACTTCATTGCGTCCCCTGTTCCTCCTCAGTACTGGTTTTATTGGAGTTCTGCTGTTGGAGAGATGGAAGCCCCAATTTTTATTGGATTTCTCAGGTAAGTGAACATAGTGAATGCTGTTCAAGTTAAGGCCTTTATAGATACAAACCATTACTTTGGGCTCTAGTTCTTTTGTTTCCTACTAGTGAAATTTAGGTATTTTTTTCCCCTTACACTAAGTAGCAAGCAGGGGTGTTTCATATCTACGAGCTGGTGCTAAAACTCTATTTGACAGTGGGAATTGCTAACTCAGTCAAACATCTATTCTTGAGCTCGTTTGTGTCACAACTTGCTTGGATTTTACTTAAACTGAATTAAGACTATGCTGTATTTCATTTGGTATGCACAATATTGTATAGTTCATATGGGAAGCCACTGGGAATTAAAGCTTGTTTTTCATCTAAAGGTATTTGATTCTTTGTTTATACGAATCCTTTATCTTTAGTTGGTTTGTGGAAAATAATGCAGGTCTTGTGTTATTAGATCCTAAATATTCAAAAACCATGGGCCACAATTATAATTTTATGATAGCTCTGTCCTCATTTTGGCTTTAGCTTTTGAAGACTGGATGTTTAGGGCATCCATATGACAAATTCTGTGTATTTGAAGCAAGTTGTGATGTAGTAATTTATTTTGTACCTAATAACATCTCTGATTCTCTGATTCAAAACTAGTGTATCCAGGTTTTTCAGATTCTTGGATAATTAAAGGGTTGCTATCATAATTGAGAACTAAGCAATAGCCTCCTCTTTCTTTCTGCTCAAAAAGCCCTTTTATCAATTTATCTTGTGGAGAGTGTGCATGACTAGCTGTAGAAATTAGGGCACTGTAATTGATAATGAACATCCTGCTTGTTGGGGCACTGGAGGAAGATCACAAGGAAGACCACATACTACATGTTGTTTATGGGATTTGAAAGTTATTCAGAAACACTGCAGAAGTGGTGTTTCTCAAATAATATGTATGAGGTTAACATAAATGCTGCAATAAAGAAGCTGTTTGTAAGATGTTAATCCCCATGGGTTTGGTAATGATACATTGAATGATTAGGTCATTAACTGAATGAATGGGTCACACCACTCATAATAATGGCTAAAGGAGTGAGTGATAAAAGCAAGAAACTCTCAGATTCCCTACTTTAAGCAGTTATCACTGAATTAATGTTTCATGAATAAGCTGATTTTTCTCTCATGTTTCTTGCCCAAAGAAATGAATCTTGCCAGCTTAATTTCATGCATTTGGATGGTGACTGCATTTGTCATATTACAAAACAGTGTTCAATAGTGATGATAGCCCTCTATTTCGAGTACTGGAGCTTTGTTAAGACATTCATATAACAGAAGAGTTGCTTTTTAAGTTTTAGAATCAGGAATCCTTGGCTTTTATGTTAAACATTAAGTGAACTAAAGCTTTTCTGATTTTCCTGCTAGTAAATATCAGTATTGCTACATCATAAAATGGAAAGCCAACCATGATGGGTTAGGTTTTTTCCTGGATACTTTCTGAGAGTTTTAAAGATACGTTTATTAACTACACTAATAAGCAGAGTTGCAATTTACATTATGTGAAATCAGTTGACAGCTGGCATAGTATTCTTTGACATCATCATCTAGATTAGTCCCTAGAGAGATTTACTGGATTTCTTTGTAGGAGGAGAGCCGTGTTAGTCTATGTGGCAAAAAATCAGGAGGAGTCTGGTAGCATCTTTTCCAACCAACAAATTTTATTAAAAGCATAAGCTTTCATAAGCTGCAGCTCCCCTCCTTTTCCCATTCTAATGAGCGGATGCTTGTGGAAGCTTGGACAATCTGTCTTCTTTTTCTTCAAGAAGATGGAGTTCTGTAATGTATGTTTGTTGTCTTGTCCTGTAATTTCAAATCCTAGTGTAGTTGAAATTCCAGGGTAGAGGTGGCATTGATGATTAATTGTTACAAAGAATGCTGATTAGATGGTTTAGGAGTTTCATGGAGAAAGTATGGCATAATCTTTAACTGTAATCTATATAGTTTATAGATTGCACAGGGTTCTTCACTTTTAGTCCTTTAGGAATAATATGGTTTTTTTGCATTTGGTTAGAAAAATTATGTTTGCTTGTATCTATGCCAGTTTCTTGACAATTTTTATAGATTTCTATTCCATATAGCTGAACTTGGTGCTTCCCTTTATAGACATTGTAGGAAGAGGTGGGTTATACTATTAGTATATGGTGGCAAAGAATCAGGGGGAGTCTGGCTTATGCATTTTAATAAAAATATTATTCAGAAAAGGTACTAGCAGACAGCTGCTCTGTCAAGTAGAGATGTACTGGAATCCTAAAAAGTAGACATCTGTTTGGTGAACATTTATTATTCAAACCCAAATCTACATGGGGGCTCTTCTTTTCTAAGCATCCTACTGCATGCTCTTTACCATGCTGAGCGTTTTCTTGAAGCTCTGTAATTAAGAGTTTAGTGTTGTTGGGCAAAATAGACTTCTTTCTTTTGGATTCATTGATGAACCCCAATTATCAAATTTACTTGCAGCAGTTTTGGCGGACAGATGCTTCTTTTATATCTTCTAGGCTTCCAAAATGTAATACTGTACCTGAGGTGAAACAGGGCTAGTGCTACTGAATGGGTTAATTAAGGCTGTACTGGCCTTTTAATCTCCTAGGAAGAGCAAAACAGATTGATATAAACCAGTCATAGTGTTCCAACATATAATGCCTAGCTTCCACTCTTTTGCAGGACAGCACAGTATTCAGTGCATTCATAGATGCAGTAAATGCCCATTGTATTAAGCTGCTGAGTTAACATTAGTTTTTCATGTAACAGAATGGACTGTCTTTCATAGGAGCAGTGGTTCTTATAGTGACTGTGATTACTGGGTGTCTGTGTTAGGGCTGTTTGCTTAATCTGGGTCACAAACTTCACAAGATTGTTTTCCATTGTTTCATAACTGAGAATAACTGAGCTATTCACCAGTTCGTACACAAGAGAAGAATCCTGATTGCAGCTTGTAGGGACTATATGCAGGCCATAATGTTATAAATAACAGCACAGCATGACTGCAGCATCAGTTACTGAAATCTGATGAACTTTTTCTAGAGTCATCTCCCTGTTGCAAAGGAACTTATTCACAAACCTCTTTATAGCTAGGTTGTTAAGACTTAAGTGGCTGGGCACAATTTAGTTGCTCTTTGGTGGCTTTGCATTGCCAGGTTTGACATGCTGTGGGCCAAGACAGTCCAGTTCCTTCAACAATTGTAGGCATGTATTTAGTTACGCAAATATTTTTATTGTTACTGATTTCAAAATTCAAAAGATTTTGCAAAATAGAGATCTGAAAACATGATGTGAAATGCATGGAAAAATATGATTTGAGGTTGTAGGTGAAAGCATAGCAAATAAACTATACATTTGAATATTGGAATATTTTATAATTTTCATATTTCATGGCTTTAACCATAGTATTCAGAGACACACTTAAAAAAATACAACAAAGAATCTGATTTTTTTCCAATATGGAATTTTTGTATAGTTGTCCTGCCCACACGCCTCCTATGTTGAATGTGCTTGCTTATTTATTTTGCTACAATGTATGGAAAAGTCCATGAGAATTCCAGTTCTGCATTGAGTTCTAGCCAGACATGCAAGTGTTCAGGAAAGCTCTTCTGAGCAACAACTACATCTGTGCACTATTTGAGAAACTGCAAAGTCTCAGTTGGAAATATTATTATTATTATTATTAAATTAAATGTATATGCCACCCAACTCCCAGTGATGCTAATAGCCTAATTTAGTACATGAAAATGTTTGTTACTGTATATTAAATGCTACCCCAGTATTTGGGCAACTTCCAGAGAGGGTCTTGCTTTCCCTTAGTCCTTGTGATACCTACAGCTATCAAACTTGGCTCTTTAGATCTGTATGTTCAGGATGATTGCTGAAGACCAATTTGTTGAAGAAAGAAACTTTACCACTACATATTTATAGAACCTGAATTTCCATGTTTCATTTCTCAGTTAATGCATTAACTTTTCCCTCCTTTTTATCCTGCAGTACAGCCCTTAGAAGAACCTGGGGGAGACAGGTAGGCATTCTTCTAATATTCTGGGGAAGATCTTTCCTTCTGTTATTTTTCCTTGCTCCTGTCTACCATTTTACTTAGAATAGCTCAGTATTTTGATTTGTGATATGACTTGAAAAGTCCCTTCTGGAATATATTCTTAAGCCTATTCATTTGACCTTACTTTGTAGGACGGAGAACTGAAATACAAAAATTTAATTATTCCTTTATCTTGACAGATCAGATCACAGATCACATTTTCAGATCCTCAAAAATTATACCATTTGGTGGATGTCTGTCCTGAAAATATTCTTATATTGGATTAAGAGCTAGGCACTTTCAAACAAAATGTGGTGTTTTCAGTTACAGCTTGGTTAGCTTGGGTATCTTGCTGTAAATTCGGTCTGCAAAAATTATTGTATTAAAATACAATATTGGGTGTGGTCTTGAAGGCTTTGTTTACTAATATGTAGTTTTTATTCCAGTGACAGTGGGATGGCAGGAGCACAGCCTCATCTGCTCAGTGTTTCAGAACTCTGTCGTTGCCTGGCTGAGAGTTGGATTACCTTCAGGCTATACCTGCAGGAACTTCTGCAGTATAAGAAGCAAAACCCTGCCAAGGTAAATAGGAAATCAACAGAGCCTTTCATATAAGAAGCCAAAGCATTGTTATTGCTAGGGAAGAAGTTGTCCCATGTTTACCTTCAGAAGGTGGCTTGTTAAAATGTGTTTGTCTCTGGTAGTTAGAGCTGATTCACACCTGGCCATTTTTTCTGCATGGATGTTAGCTCATGTAATATATCTATATTTGGACATGGTGATCCTGGTTAGAGACAGTGTTTTAAGCAGTGAGCTTAAAGAAGGTAGCATTTCTCAATGTATGTGGAAACAAAAAACTGCAATGGAGGTTTTATCACATCACTCCAGTTGAAATACAGGTTATACCAGTTATTTCTCAGCAATTGCCCTTGGAAAAGCATCTCCCTTGGTGAACCTATATGTTGATATTTCTACACCAAAAGGCAACAACCTTGTATGTCTGTTTTCTGTCTGTTTTCTAATCCAAAATATATAATGGGATAGCATTATAAGTTGATTCTTCAGACATGATCAGAATACATACCTGGCCCTAGGAAAAAAAGGAGAGGAAATGTGGGCATAAATTTATAAGTAGTGTTAAGTTTTAAAATAGCATCTCAACCTTTTTATGTAAATGGGGCCTTTCACAACAACATTTGGATTAATGCAGTTCTGACAAAGCTGTTCTTAAGACTTTTGCAGATTTTTTGTTCATAATATAATTTCTAAGTGTTCCCCCCCCCTTTATTGTTATACTTATTAATTTAGGGCTTATTAACTTTAATTCTGTTTTGTGCATTTGTGCTTAGTTTGCATAATATTTTTTTAATGCAGCCTTTTCTGTGGATTAATTATGGCTTGTCCTAGGGAGCAAGAAGTGTCTTAATTATTGGTCAGCTGCCAATAAGTTCCAGGCATGTAGCTTGCTATTCTTGATTTTTTTTCTTCTATTCAGAAGCCAAATATTAGCTAGCCTTTCTTACAAAGCTCAGTCTTAGAGAATGTAAAACAGCTTTGTGGATGAATACAAGCAACATTATGAAAGAATGAAAGGGCCCTGCAATTTGGGAGGCATTGTAAGACTGTTACAAAGAAGGCTACCTACACCAGCTATTTTGAGAGTGTTTCCTTTTGGCTAAGTTTATTTCTGTCTCTCTTATTTCTGTTTTCCCAGTTCTGTGCTAGAATCTGCTCAGGATGCCTGATTCTAGCAATTGTAGGACACTATGTTCCAGGAATCATGATCTCCTACATTGTCTGTGAGTATGCTTAATCCTTTGCAACCCTTTAAAACTAAAGACACAGCTTTACTAACCAATTTTGTAAACTTCCAAGCACCTTCTAGGCAGGCGTAGGCATTTTCAGCAAACGAATTTAGAAGAAAATTCGGCAAAAAGTTAAAATGGTATCATGCAAATCCCTCTGTAAAGCCAGTGGTAGAGCTTTCAGATGATGATACCTATTACCTCTGCCAACTTCACAAGAAAATATAGCTTGGGCAGAAGTGCAATTATATATTTTTAGACTGTTGTAGGAAGCTAATGCAAGCATCTGCCAAAGTTATTTCTGCAGTTTATTCAATTTCAGCTCTGGAATCTAAGGTTGTTGTTTTTTTTTCTGTTTATGCATCATTAACAATGTTGGTCCTGATCTGATGGACTTGAGCTAGAGAGTCTGAGTGCTGAATTTGTACAATTCTGGTACCATGTCCAGTACAGGGGGAATCACTGAACATAAGAAGCAGTGAGAGGGACTGGCAACTTGATGTCCCTACAGAAAGCATTATGTGTAACTGCCTTTTAGCATCAGAGAATATGTTTTTAACACATCTCTGAGTTTTATCCATATCTCCAGTACTTAGTATTCTGCTGTGGCCACTGGTAGTATACCACGAACTCATTCAAAGAATGTATACCCGTTTGGAGCCCATCCTAATGAAACTGGACTACAGTATGAAGGTGGAGACTTTGCATCTTAAACATGAAAAGAAAAGTAAGACAATTGCTCCTTACTACTTAAAATGCAGGTTAAAATTACTAAAGAAAGGCTGGACTGGCTGAGAATGATTTATCCAGTGGGAATGGGGCCTAGAAAGCCTGTAGAAGTACGGATGTCGGTGTGCAGTTGGGACAAGGACTGTGAAGAAGCACACACTTCTTTTAAAACCTTTTAAAAAGTATTCCCTTGACCCTTTTTCTGTAGGGCTAACACAGAGAAGTCCTAGGCAAAATTTGTTTTGTTTTACTCTACAGAGCGTCAAGGAAAGATTGAGCCAGAAGCTGGCAGTGAACCAATGGCAGAAACAGAAAGTGAGAGTGAAGCAGAACTGTCTGGCTACTCTCCAGTGGTAAGGGTGAGGGAAGAGGCAAAGGGTGAAGCATGATCAGTTGGAAGAGCAGGGAGGTTGGAGGCCTGGTACTGATTAGTGTCATAAAGAATCTGGAGACTGTGACTACCAACTGATCTGATGACATGGCAGGGAACTTCACATTTTTTCGGGGGTGGGGGGAGACAATGATTTGGCTTGCATCATTGGATGCTTCTACCCAGTGGGCCTTCAGGTTCTTCAAGCTTGAGGTTTCTCTTTACCTCAGTCCTGATTGCTTCCTGTTTAGAGCATCTTTAGTTCTCTCATGATTTGTGTGGGAGCAAAAGTAATGACATAGGAAGAGGACCTTTTTTTAATCTCAAAAGCCACATTCATTTAGGTAAGTCTACTCCACTGTTCTCCTATATTAGATATTTAAAGCACAGCAGGGGTAAATAAATTTTAAGGACTTTTTTTTTTAAAAAAAAACCTTTTTGATACTCATACACATGTATAAGTATATTCATGTGTTCCTCAAATAAGGAATAAAATTATATTTTGTTTAAAAAACAAATGTGTTCAACAAATTTTATTTTTTTATAAACAATAATCATGTCACAGCCTCCATTTGAAATAGGATGTGAAATGGTTCAGACAGATCTTTTTCCTGAGATTCTTAAAGATGGCAGACTAAAAGTGGCAGATTCTCCATGCTCTTGAATGTAATAATATAAATTCTATCAGTGCTGAATGTTTGTTGCACCTTTCCTTTAGGTTCATAGGTAGTAAGATCCTCTTAAGTTTTTTTTATTATGATCTACTTTTCCCATTGTGACAGTTTGTTAAACAACTAGAGAGAGCATTATAGCAATCCATATGGACATTTTTGCATATTATTTGGACTTGCTGCTGCTCTGGAATGTAGATTTCACTTCTAGTATTTTCATAACCATTCATCATAATTTGTTAAAGGAGGATCCAGCGTCAAGGACAAGCATTAACCTGGTGGGGGACATGCTGGTTTGGCATTCTAGATGCATTCTCTCTATTGGGGTTTTTAACTGAGCAGATGCAGCCTTACAATACAACTTTAGTGCTATCCTTTTTGCAGGTAGATGTGAAGAAGACAGCTCTGGCATTAGCAATCACAGATTCTGAACTCTCTGATGAGGAAGCCTCTATCCTGGAAAGTGGAGGATTCACTGTCTCCAGAGCTACAACACCACAACTGACAGATGTGTCTGAAGGTGCTATATTCCTTCTCCCCAAACCAAATATCACATTTTGGCTTGGAGTTGTTGAATGATATAATACAAATTCTATATTGCTTTGTGGCAGAACTGAGAATTCATGAGAAAAATGAAGCAGGAACTGGAAAGGATCACATAGTCCTGAATATTTCTGACTTCATACTACATGCTGAGTGCAATATCTGTTTCTTTTCCATATTAATTTTCCAACTGTTCCTTAATTTTGAAGTAATTAGTAATTCACCTGTCCTTGTTGCTGATGCTACAGAAATTAGCCGAGTTATATTACAGAATTATAAACAAAACTTCATTGGCTTCACTGGATTGATTTCCACACTCCTTGTTGGGTTCTCTTCTCTTGGTCCCATCCCCTAACAAATGGTAGCCGAGATGATTACCTACGACTACCATGCCAGCCTAGTTCATAGCCCCTCCTGAAAAGAGTTGTGGAAAAGGTTTTTGTTCCCCTTTTCAGACCTGAAAAGAAAGGAGGCATCTGAACGGGAAATTCTATTCCTTTTAGATCCATCAAAAGTAGGGGTAGTACATTCTAGTATTAAATTTCCATTCACTGTTTGGGGTGGAGTGTGGACCAAGCATAAGTTTTGAGTTGAACCTGCTTTTACAAGACTCAGAAGTGACTTTTGGAAGTACAAAGCTCTATGCCTACTATTGGCCAGTATAGTTGTGAGTTCTTCTGTTTATGATTGAAATTTGCAGGCACAGTAGCTTTCTTGGAATGGGATGCTCCTTAAAATTCTGATTTTATTTAAAAAAAAAAATTCCCATGACTTTGTATTTAGGCAGAACTATATGAATTTCATAGGAATCAAATGATAGAACATCCCTTACCCACTGCATTGTTGATCTGAGAGTCCTAAGAATTGTTCCCTGTAATTAGAAGAAAGACCAATGCTGTGCTTTCTTCTTCTCCACATCTAATGTTTTAGATCAACAGAAATTAAAGTAGTGGGACTTTGCTGACAAAGTGTCAGCCTTTTTTGCACAGAAATTATTTACATGTTTGTTTTGGACCAATCACATTTCAAATTACAGAACCACAGAATTGGCCAAACCAGATCAGTTTCTCTCAGGATACCTATTGGATTAGAGTGTTCAGAGTATTTCAAGTTTATCATCTTATATTTAAAATAATTTTATAAGGTACATCAATATTGTACTTGTACTGCAGCTAGGATGGGTGCAGAGAGAAAAAATAGTGGGGAGTAGCGTATTGCTATCTAATGAGTGTATAGTGGAGATTAGAATCAAATCTAAGATGCCCCAGTTGGACATAAATGTTAGGCTGTTCATGCTTTGAAAATGATTGGAAGAAGTGCTTTGAAACGCACAGGTAGGCAGCATCTGTGTTCATTACAGGTTCCTGACTATTTTTCAGGCTTCCATATGAGCTTGAGAAAAAAATGCCACTGCTTTAAAGATTCCACTCATTAAACTTAATGCAACTCTTAAAGCAGTGGCACCTTTTCTAAATTTATCCTAGAAATTGTGATATAACACTCTGTTTAAACTTGAAATATGTGCATATTTTATAATGCACATTTACCAGCTGTACTTTTTTCTTTATGATAAGATAGAATAAAGAAAAGCTTTAGTAAGCTTGCCTGTGTGGATGGTGACTTTTAGATTTGGGCTAGTAATGCAGTGCTTGGCTTATAGAAGAACTTCAGACAGAGAAGATGGAAAAACATTGCAATGCCACTCAGAAGAAGAGAAGAAGGAACAAAAGCCAGGCAAGCATGTTCAGAAATATGTACATTAAAGCAGACTGAAAGCCATAGCTGAGCTGGCAGCCAAGTTGCATGAGGGTTGAAGATTCAGAGCAGGAATCTCGGGTGTTGAAAGCTCTGTGCTTACTAACTGCCTATCTGCTTTTTAGATCTGGACCAGCAAAGCCTCCACAGTGAGCCTGAAGAATCCTTCTCCAAGGATTTAGCAGAATTCCCTTCTGTGGAAGAGTTCCATTCCAAAGACTTGGGACCACCCAGTGAAGATGACAATTTTGGGGTGCCCATTCAAAGTGCACACCAGCTGGACTCTGCTGAGGAGGAGGAGGCGGTGGTGGCGGCGGCAGCAGCAGCAGCAGCAACCATGAGTTCGGACACATCCATTCTGTGCCTGGCCTCACCCCTGCACTTTGTAAATACTCATTTCAATGGGAATGGGCAGGCAGTGGTGGGAGGAATCCCTGAGTCCCAAGCCACCTGTGCACAAGGCCTGGGGCTACACATCGATTCATTGAGTCAAGAGATTGTCACTACTGCTATCAGTACAGTTGTGCAGAACACCCTGTCAGCTCTGCTCCACTCCTCGGAGGACAGTGAGGGGCCTTCTTTCTCTGAGTTCCTGCCTACTGAACCGGAGGAGAGACTCAGCTTCCAGGCACAGCTATCTGAGAATGAGGAGGTGGGAACAGCAACTCTGCGTGGGGAGGAGGAGGAAGAGGAAGCTGATGATTTCGAGCTGCTTGATCAGAAGGAGCTGGAGCAAATGGATACAGAGTTGGGCCTTTCTGGAGAGACAGAAGCTCTGGGAGCTCCTCCTCAACCTCCTGAAGAACCATCACCCTGATCTCACTGTTCAGTCTTGTTTCTGTAGCTGCAAGAAAGGACAAATAGACACATAGAGAAGTTTAGGCTATGCTGAAGGACAAACAGACATACGGCAAAATTCAAGCAAAGCACCCATATTTGCAGTGTTATGTGTGGAATCAAAAGTTGTTGTCCTCCTCCTAGTATTGGCCTTTCCATCAGGCCTGTTTCTGCCCATGCTTCTTAGTGATGATGCAGTCTTTGTCTGCTGCTGCAATTTTTCTGTCTTAGTCTGTTTTGCAGTCTTTATTTCGCACACCATATCTTCAGCTAGATATTCCCACCACTACAACCTATTGCTCATCCCCATGTATCCAGTAAGAAATAAAGGAGTTTTATTCAGCAGGGAGGGTGTAAATAATTTCATGAAAACATTGGTCACTTAATTGAACAGGAAGGAGAAACTGGTTCTGTGGAGAAGTAGATTTGGGATTTTTTTTTCTTCTCAGAAATGTCGGGGAATGGAAAGTATGTTTTCAATAGTGACACCATGTAGAGGATTTTTCCTGTGAAAATGAAGGCAATCTGGACTTAGCTACCTATATTGCACAGAAAGCAGATGCTTCTGCAGTTCCAAGCATCAGTGCTACCTTTTCAAGTATGTTAAGCCTTCATTTTCCTTTATACAATAGTGTGAATACACTGTGCCCAATGGTTTCCAGGAAGGCATAGCCTGATTTTATTTGTGCTGAACCTCATATCTGGTTGTCTGGAATTTTTTAAAATGCACCTGGAAAAAATCAAATTTAATTGTAGAATCTGGAAGCCTTCCTCTTCCCTTTCTGCTGCACTTTAAATACAAGTATTTCTGCTTGTTGGTACCAACCCAGCCCTGATATGTCCTGGGCAGAGTGCATTCTTCTAATGCCCTTAGCCTCACCTCAGGCAGAGAAGCAGAGCAGCTAGAAAAGACATTATGTGAGACCATAGAAAGAATTCTAATGTCAAAAAGTGGAGGAAGGGTACTCGCTTTGCCTATCACCTCTCTTCACTTTTGAAAGACTAAGGATTTCCATTGATAGAATTTTTTTTTTTGCTAATTGGAATAGTATGTGCATTTCTATTTTCAGGAGAAAGAACAGGGCAAGATTGTCCTCCCCCCTCCCCCCAAAAAAGTGGTTGATGTCTGTAGGGATGGTTTGTGTAATTTTACAGAAAACAAGATGAAATATAAAATGGTTCCTAGGGTTGCAGGGGTCAGTGTTTTTACTGTATAGAAGCAGAGCTGTCCCCTTTCCAGTGTATTAGCTTATTAGTGCACTGTAAAGCTAAGACAGTCTTTAGCAATGCCCTTAATTGAATGGCTGTTGTTTTCTCTCATTTCTGTCTCGTTTTGGCAAGTTTTCCCATGGGTTGCCAGCCTTGGTATCTTTGCTTGTTTTCCAAGGGATTACAGGCCATAGTGCAAAAATAGCATGAGTTGGTTATTCTCCCATTGTGTAAAGCATTCAAAATATATGTCACCCAGCTACTGGTATGCTAGGATGAAGAGAAACTGCAACTTAGGTTTACAAACGCAGGCCCTGAATTTCTGTTACTTGTCTGGGAGGGCTCTGTCCTTGAGCTGCGCTTCTAAATTACTTGACTAAGGTGCATGAAAGACATCCAAGGAAATCCAAACACCTCTGTAATTCCTGCCTTCCCTTCCCCCACCTACCCCCTACCCTGGTTGCCACCTTTGGCCACTGCCTAGGAAGATAATGTAGTTATACTGCCTTTTCTCTCTCTCTTTCTCTCCATTCAGACTTCTGTTAAAGGGTAATGAATTTTTAGATGTCTGCTAGCACAACTGTTTTGTTGGCCAGAGCTGGCTCCTTTTCTGTCCTGTATTGCCTGCCCCTCCCTCAAATGCAGTGGAGTGGGGTGACTGTGAATAACAGCTTCCTCTTACTGTCTGCACTTTGGAAACAGGCAGCTTTGTGGCACTGAGTGTAAAGCTTGCCTACCTTTGTGTTGTGTCCTGGCCACAATTTTTCTACCCCTCTCAATAAAGCCCTAACTTTTTCTTTCTAATGCAGAAGGCATGTATTGTATTGATATTTCTCTCTGGTTCTTTATGCTTTCTTCCTTTCCTTTGGTGGCAGCAATGCCATGCTGCTCCAGGATAGAGGGTCCTAATGAAGGGCTGGGAAATTGCTATCATTGCCCAGGAAAAGTGAAAGGCTCTAAATTGTGTAGCAGTGTTTATTCTATGGCTAAATATTTAAAAATGAAATGTAGTCTTTTTAATAAAAAAAAAGTTTAAAGATTTGAATCTTGGGTAAAAGATTCTTTTTTTGTCTTAATTTATCAAGAGTCCCAGCTTGCACTTTTTTGACTCCCATCAGTGTGTGCAGGTGTGAGCAGTGATTCCTAACTCAGAGCTGGAAAGCTATTACCACACCAAGGGTGATATTCCTTTGAATGTACACTATAGTTCAGCTAAGCCTGTTACTGACCTAAATCCAGGTAATTGTGTCTCTTACTTACCAATGAAGGTTGCATCTGAGTAACCTTGAGCAGGAGAACAACCATACTGTTAGAAAGAATATATACATAATATATGGTATACAGTGCCAGTAGAAGAGAGATGTACAGAATGCTTTTTCATACCAAATGTCCTTTATCTAACCAGATAAAGAGATGGGTTAAGAACCTCTGGGTGTCTTTAAAGTTACTAAACTTAAAAAATTAACTAAACTTTAAAAATAGTTGATGGGGTGCACTATGCTTTTTTACAATGATAGGAAAAAATATAATTCTCATATCATCCTGAAGATCTTTGCTTTGATTTCCTAGTGTAAAATTATAATTTTCAAATAGGGAAAAAGAAGGGAAATGCATGAGAACATTACATTTAATGTTTAAGAAAGGCCCTGCTCTCAGCATTGTTTCCATTTTTCCTCCCTACTACTATTTAGAAAATAAATCTTAATAGACTTCCTATCCATGTTTATAATCCCACAACAGTCAAGGCATAGGACCAAATCTGTGCTGTCACTTTTCAGAATCTGAAGTATCTTTTGCAGTTTTTTAATGGTACATAAATAAGCAGAAACACTGAATAGCAACACCATCTTTTATTACAAAGACCTAATAGTAATTATAAAGTCAAGAGACTAGGCAGGGAAGCACTCTAGAAAAGTTTTCAATAAATAAAAATGGGACCCCTTCATGAACTGGACCAAAATTGGTCAGTTAATTCAAACAAAAGCTCTGTTCCTATTCATGACTAAAAATGTCTTATAGCTTCTGTCCTGTGTTATTCTGAAAAACTAAAAGCAAAGAAAGTAATACTTTATTTTAGCCAGCAATGCTACTATCCTCTTCTTTTCTTGCTTTTCAACAGAGACTGTTGATGTCAGGTAGATGTCCACCATCAGCATTCCAGAGAAAACTCTCACAAGAACCAACTTCATGAATGACTGTGTTCCAAGATGCTGGACAACAGTGCAACGTGGCTTCTTCACAACAGGAAATAATTATTATACGTATAGTCTTGTGGTTGCAGAAGGCAGTTTGGATAGTATTAGATCCATAAAACAGTTTATAACAAGATCTGTGATGGCTTTTTCTAATCTCAGTAAGGCAAGAATCAAATGGTATTCCAAGCACACTAAAGTCTATTCTCAAAATGTAGCTACAATGGGATTTACTACTTTAAAGTCCTCCAAGTTTAAGTATTTGGAAGAGCAGGACAGTTATATCTGTTCCTCAGGTCTCACACACTGTGTGCAGGCTGTAGGAGGTGTATCAGTTTCTTACAGTGCCTTGATGTAGGCCGAGAACTACTATAGGTACTAGCCTGAGAACCATGAATGGAAAGTGCTTCCAGTTTTTCACTTGCTTGGAGTGACACCAGCACCTAGAAAGGAAACTAACAGTTACTTAGAAATCTAGGGTTGTATTCTCACATACCAGTTCTTTCCTAATACATGTTCTAGGGTTGTATTCCCACATATCAGTTCTTTCCAAACACATGAAACAATCAACAACATCTTCAAAGGAATAACATTCACAAGGGAAGAAAACAACAACACACTCTTCCTGATATCCTCATCAGCAGAGGAAATGACAGAAATTAGAAACACAACTGTAGTGAAAAACAACTCACACTAACCAAGTGCTCTGTTACCAAAGTAACAACCCAACCACCCACAAGAGGAACTGTGTAAGAACATTATTCAGATGAGTACAAACACACTGCAGCAACACAGAACATCAGAAGAAAGAAACAGACCGCCTATACAACATCTTCCAACAAAATGGATATCCGTGCAACTTTATCAAAAAGCAGGTTGACCACTCAACACACTACAGCACAACCAACACAAGCTATGAAAAGGATAATACTACCATACATCAAAAACA